CCACATTAACTTTCGAGTGGCGCAAAAATTCTGATAGGTGACTTCTTGAAATAAGCAATCTGTAAACATTTTGAATAATTTTAAATAAATGAGATATTAAACTAAAAAGCGAAACCTTTGTAATAAATAAGTCAAAAATTATGAATAAGGTAGATATTATTTTCTGATTACTGAAATTAACTTACTATACCTAATACCATTAACAATGCTAACACGGGCCATCTCGGATATTTATAATTTTAAATGTTTTTATTGTGGACTTTTACTTAGTATTTTAAAATCAGATATCTATATTAGACAGGAGTAATTAAGTTAAAAAATGATACGAAACATCCTTCGAACATGATAGGAAATCATAATACTGTGCTCGATAACCCTTACATAGAATTACCCAAAGAAAGATTACAAGGATCTTCTAGAATAGTAAGAGGTCCTTACTAATCTAAGCTAGAACAGTTTTCAGCCAGAATAACAGGCAAAGGGAAAAACATGAGAATTCGGTTGTTTTCATCCACTTATAGTATTCCAACTGCAAATGGTTGGAATATAGTCCAGCAAAAGATTAAACGTGGAAGAGTTACAACGTGAATTAGTTCGTAGATATTTAAATCCAAAAGAAAAAAGAGACTGAACTGAAGGCCAGAGAGACCTAGCGACAAAAATATTTAGTTTATATGAAGAAACTGATTAATATAATTATTATAGTTCTAGTAAATGGTGGAGAACCTCTTCGTAGTCATGATGAAATGTAACAAAGGAATGAAAAAGGATTCTGGAAATTATCGTCATCATCATCAATCAGCCAATCGCGTCCACTGCTGGAAATAAGCCTCCCTCAGTTCTTTCCAGTGTTCTCTACACTGAGCCGCTTGTAGCCAGTTTCCCGCTACACGTTTTATATCATCGGTCCATCTAGTCGGTGGTCGTCCTCGGCTTCTTTTATAGTTTCTGGGCCTCCAGTCCATAATACGTCTTGTCCAGCGTCCATCTTGTGTTCTGAATAAGTGCCCTGCCCAGTTCCACTTAAGCGTCGTGGTTCTTTCGATGACGTCTTGAACTCCTGATCTTTGCCTGATTTGTTGGTTTGTTATGTGGTCTCGAAGGCTCACGTTCAGCATTGCACGTTCCATGGCTCGTTGTGTAACTCTGAGTTTATTCGCAGATTTTTGCGTGAGTGTTAAGGTCTCTGCTCCATAAGTTTGTACAGGCAAAACACATTGGTTATAAACCTTTCGCTTGAGATACATGGGAATTGAACTTTTTAGAATATGGCTTTAGAATTTGATGCTCAGATTTGTAAATCATTTTTGTTTTGATATTCAAAGCGTAAACACTCATTGTGCGTAACAGAAAGGAAGATTGTGATTTTATAATGCCTAAAACAACCAGTGCTTCAACTTGGATTAAACCTTATAAAGAGCGGTCTATGGATATGGGAAAAATCTACTGTTCAGTCTGTGGCAAAATTGTAAGTATCTAATATTTTCTATTAAATATCTAATATTTCATACATACAGGGTGTTTCGAAATGACACTTACAACGTTTGACTGTAGATACTTCTCGAAAAATTGAACAAAACGATATAGTTAATGAGGGGTCAAACTTATTTACTTTTCGAGATACAGGGTGTTAAAATTTAAAAAAATTAAATTCTTTTAGTTAATAACAACATAAACTTTAAAACCAATAAACGTATTTACTTGAAATTTAGTACTCGTAGGTTGTTTTTAAATAAAAAATAGCTTCCTTTAGTGAGAAAAAATTGTCCATGGTACAATACAATGGTGTGTATTTAGAAAAATTTTTCACCTTTACTTTTTTTTATGAAGTCAGCTATTCTAAAACACAATTATTTTTATTGTAATTGAATTAACAAAAAAAAACTTTTGTTGAATTTTAAAATAAGTTATATGATGTACTAATGGTTAGTAACAAAAAGTAATTTGTGGATTAATACTGCATTTAAAACACTTAGCGAGTGTTTTTTTTCCAAACCAGTTATTTGATTAACCAAAAACACCTTGTATATTTTTATATTTTAAAGGTTGGGTTAAAATAAAGGTGTTTATTTTTATTTATAGATAGCATGTGAGAAGAAATTTCAGATAGACCAACATGTAAGAACTGCTTCACACATTGCAAAAAAAGGAAAAATAGGAGGAAAACATCAAACTTCAATGGCTAAATGTTTCCAATCTACTTTAAAAAAATTAGATGAGCAAGAAACTTTTAATGAAGACTTGTGTCGCGCATTAGTGTCTGCAAACATACCGCTTTCAAAATTAGCAAATGTAAATTTTAGTTCGTTTCTAAAAAAATATTGCAAACTTAATGTTCCAAGTGATCGGTCTCTAAGAAGAAATAATGTGAACGGGCTATACTCGTCGGTGTTAATTAATATTAAGGAAGAAATTGCAGATAATTATTTTTACATATCTGTAGACGAAACCACTGATTCCTCAGGAAAGTATATTGCTCATTTATTGATTGGTGTTCTTAAAGAAGATACCTTACCAAAATCTCATCTTATTTCATGCCAGCAACTTGAGAAAAGAAATGCTTTAACAATTTCGCGTTTTATACAAGAAACATTAGCAACTTTTTTTCTTCCGACAACTATTCCTTCTAATAAATTACTGCTTATTTTATCGGATGCTGCTCCTTATATGGTGAAAGCAGGACAAAATTTAAAAATATTTTTCCCAGATTTAATACATGTTACTTGTGTAGCGCATGGATTAAACAGAGTTGCAGAGGAAATATGAAAAAAGTTTCCTCTTGTAAATACCATGATATCCAGTGTCAAAAAAGTATTTCTTAAATCTTCTATAAGAATTCAACTTTATAAAGAAATGCTACCTAACATTCCTCTTCCACCACAACCTATTTTAACGCGATGGGGAACATGGTTAGAAGCAGCTAATTTTTATGCAGATCATTTTGTTAAAATAAAGAACATAATTGATACGTTAACAGATGAAAGTTCTCAATCTCTTTTGGATTCTAAACAAACTTGCTTCAACAAGAACTTTCATTTCTTGTGTGTAATATACTTATGTGTAATAATAATAACTTATGTGTAATACTGGATATTTTGTTAAATTTTTTCACTGCGCACAGACATGTTGTGAGCAAATACTTATTTTTTTGCTGACCAGTGCAGTTGTCAGAGTAGAATGTAATATCTAAATCTGTGGGGTGTTTTTTTTTCCGATAGAGTTTGCAGATCCTTTAGTACGCAGCTTCCTATTTCTATTGCTCCACGCTTACCTTCTGTTTCATTCCAGAAATAGCAACTAACGTTTTTAAGATTTAGATCACTAATGGTGAAGTTATAACAGTTCAGTTTACTTTTGTAGTAAAACGATGACACTTGACCTTTAGGCACTGACATTACTGCCTGCAAATCATATACTGCAACATGAGAGCCGTTTGACTTTGTCATTCTTCTTTTCCTTGTGGGAAAGCTCCTTTTCGATTAGGACATTTCGTTTTCCCTGTTCATCGGAGTTGAATGACTCACACAAATCCCATTGATCCTTTTTTGTTGAAAAAAATGAAATATTATAATCTCCGTTAAATATGCCATTAAACATAATGGAATTAACAAAAGGCAGTTGTCGAGACTAACGATCTTCCTTATAATCTCTGTAAATATCTGCTAATTTTCTATTACCCTCAATATATTCCCGAGTAGTTTGGGCTCGCAAATAATGAGATTCTACTCTCGGGATAGCTTCAATTAAGTTTTTAATACTCTTTTTAATCTCAGGATCAACACAAGGCTGCTTTTCGTGTTTACCTCTTTGATCTTCGTGAAGAAAACAATTTTTGTCTTGTTTTATTAAAGTTGTTCGAATGGGTGTATCGTTTATGTCCAATGTGGTTTTAAAAATGTCTTACATACCCTTACGCGACTGTCGTTGATGATTTAGTAGAAAGCAGAATTTATACGTCTGAAATCCTGAGTACTTACAACAATAAATTCTCTTTGCCGCTGTAAGCCCCCAAGTTTCCAATAACTTGGAATAAAATATTTTTCTCGGTCTGCTTCGTTTAATATTAAGCTGCACTTTAGCCTACATTTCTCTACACAAGGTGGGCGTAAATTTCTAGCAGGAATTTTTTTTTTTTGGTTTTAGATGAAGAAACATAAGCTTTTCCGGAATTTCTAAATAGTTTAGTTTTTTTTGACATCCCATGTATCAGGTCTTGCTTTTCTTTTCTTTCCTTTTTTTTCTCTTTATCAATCAAACCTTCATCCATTAAGTCTATAGCCTGAATTACATGTGTTTCCTTTTCTTCTTCCAAATCACTTTCAAAGCTAAAGCTTTGATTGTAGTTTAGATCTGCATTCGAATCATCTACATCACTTTTTTCACTTAGTACAGGAGCAGTCTTATCTTTGTATAGTCTTGTACTTTTCTTTGTCTTTGTACAGTCAACTCAAATGCTGTCATTTTTGAGTTGTGTCACTTTTGAAGCAAGGGTGCGATATATTTACTACTTTTACTTTCTATTTTTTCCCTATAGGTATTCCAATATAAACGTATCTTTGGTAATAATATATAAGGATATACAGCACAGTTTGAAAATTAATTTGATTATTTTTTAAAATATCTAAAACATAGATGTTCAAAGTTTAAAAGTGATGATTTTAAAGATAAATATGTAAAAAACTTTCCTCTTATTGGCTTAAAAGCTTAAATAAAAATATTAATAATACTGTATTAGACCATTAGGTTTTAAATAAAATTTAAAATAGTTTTTCGGCCCTGGTCTTATCAAAAAGATAACGACTTATTTTAATAAGCTATGCCTAGTACCAAAGTCAAATCACGGTTCTAAGTCGGCTCTGTGATTCAGTTTCAGTTTAAAATAACGAAGTAACTATGTCAGCATTAATAGGTTTATTTATTTACACATTTTTACCATGTTCTTATCACTAGTGGCGATTTCAAGTTGAATCTCAGATATTACAATTGAATTTTTGTCGATTGTATTGTTAGTGTGAATGGCGAGGAACTAAGATATCAAGTGAACTTTTGATATCGACGTTTGTGATCAGGAATCGATAACGTTTACTATAGTGGTATCCCGAACAGTTACGTTTAGTTTTAAGCAACTACAGGAAGTCCTCTGACTTCGTAAACAGCTAAGATGCAGAATGGTCCAGAAAAAAGTTCCCTAGTGTAAGTTATAGATTTCATATTAATGGCTTGCGCCAAATAGCTAATATTATGTTTGAAACAAAAAAGACGTATTTTTTGTTATAATGTACAATGTGCAAAACACATGGTGTCCAAAACAGCGTGTAGTATTTATGACCTTATACTGATTTATAAAGTGTATAATACAATAGTATTCAATAAATGTCTTAGAGAAAGCATTTCACTGAAAGCTTGCCTACACAAATTGTCTAAATCAGGATCCTTATAAGCTTAAAAGCCAACTAAACTTATTTAATTATCTGAGGATTTAATCCTGTTTAATTGAGTTTCTTCTCATTAGTATAATGTCTTTCACAATCTTTACATATTTACCGAGGAATCCTTTCTTATTGAGCGAACACCACTACAAAATCTCTCGAGAAACTCTATCAATCCATCTATCAATTACTCTCTCCTGTTGTAGATCTCCCTTGTTGTATACAGGTACTAATATACTGCTTCACCACTTATCTGGCATTAGTCACTTTAAAGCTGTCTATATTTTCCCAGGAATATTATCTGGGCGTAGACTTGTATACGCTTCTGCTTTAGTTTTTGCTACTGCTACTTTCGCTTTCTTTTTGGTGACCACATGTGCATTAAAATCACCTTATATTATGACTTTCTCCTCTGATGGAGTACCTATTACTCAGTACGTCTCCTAATTGACCATAGAAAACTTTTCTTTCATTCTCACCGAGACCGATTTGAGGAGCATGCTCACATAACGTGGTCTAATGCAATGATATTTAATAAATATCTGACAGAAAGCATTCCACTGAAACGTCACCTATCTCAAAAGTCTAACTAGGATCCTTATTATCACACCTTAAGAGTTTTTTTAAACCCTTCTATCTATTCCGATTGCCGAATATAGGCCTTTTCTAATTCTCGCCATTGATCTCTGTAAGTGTAAGACGTTTCCACATTGGCCCTGCAGTCCTTTTAATATCGTCGCTCCAGCGTATTTGCGGTCTTCCTCTTGGTCTTTTGGCTTCATATGGATTTCTTTATTCCATCGGCAATCCTTAAGACCTTCGTTATGTCCAGCCCATTTCCATTTCAGTTTAGCTGCCTGTTCGATATTATCTTTTACTTTTGATATATATATATATATATATATATATATATATATATATATATATATATATATATATATATAAATACATAAAATCAAGAATTAACTTTCTTTCTTTCTCCCCTTTCTTTTACCCTATCAGGGTGTCGGATTTGGGCTAGCTATTTTAATTTCCATTTACCCACCTCTTCCATTCTTTTCTGTTTCCTGCCATTATTTTCAATTCCTCGAGTGATTTTTGTTTAAATTTTCCCGCCTCTACTACTTGCTGTATCCATTTTTTTCTTGGTCTGCCTCTTTTTCTTTTTCCGATATTTTTTGCTTCATAAACTTTTTTTGTTATTCTATTGGATTGCATCCTCGTCAGATGCCCATACCAGTTCATTTGTCTCTTTGCTATTTTGTTCATTTTCGGTTCCTGGTTGGCCATTCTCTTAATAGTCTCGTTGCTTAATCTATCCCATTTTGTCTTTCCAACTATCCTTCTTAGATGTCTCATCTCCATTGCGTTTATCCTGCTCTTATGTTTTTCCAGGATTGTCCAGTTTTCACTTGCATAGAGCTCAGTCGGTATCACTATTGTGTTATATATTTTTATTCTTGTTTCTCGTGTAAGTTCTCTTTTTCCCATTATTGGGGCTAACGCATAGTATAACTTGTTTGATTTCTTTGCTCTATTTGTTATTTCCCAGTCTATTTTTCCATCATTAGTTATTATACTTTCCAGGTATTCGTAAGTTGATACTATTTCCAATTCTGAGTTTTTACATTTTATCTTTATTTGATTATCTTCCTGATCTCCATTGCCGCTGATTATCATTATCTTACTTTCTTTCTCGTTTATCTCCATTTTCAGTCCTTCTATTTGTTCTACCCATATATCCATTAGTTTCTGAAATTTATTCTCGGAATCTGCTATTAGTACTATGTCGTCTGCATACATTAAGGACTCTATTGTCACCGGTTGTAATCTGTGGTAACCTATTATTGTCCGTAGTTGATTGGTTCAGATTCTAGTGTTTCTTAACAATTCGTTCATTACTATTATGAATAGCAAAGGGCTGAGACTATCTCCTTGTTTAATACCTCTCTTCGAATTAAATGCTTCCGATCTTTCCCCTGTTATTTGTACCCTTCCTTTTACCTCTTTGTAAGTACTTTCTATTTTTTTTTATCAATGCATTAGGTACATTTATTTTTCTCAAGCATTTCCCTATAATATGTCTTTCTATCGTGTCAAATGCTGCTCTTAGGTCTACGAATGCTAATACTAGTTTTTCGCCCGTATCTATGCTTCTTTCTATTAGGTTTCTAATGATATTATATGTTGTCATTTGTCTGTCTTCCCGGTCTAAATGCCGTTTGTTCTTCTCCCAATACCATTTCTACTTCTTGTCTCAGTCTCTTCTCTATTATTTTCGTATATATTTTAAAACATACCGATGACAGACATATTGCTCTATAGTTGTCGCAGTTTACATGTTCTCCTTTTTTGTATATTGGCACGATGATATTTTTCTGCCAGTCTTTAGATATTGTTTGTTTTTCCCACGCCGCTTTATATATTTTCCATAGTCAGTTTATTCCTTCTTCTCCCATCTATTTTACCATTTCCGGTTCAATTTCATCGTCTCCACCTGCCTTGCCTATTTTTATATTTGATAATCCTTCTATTACTTCTACTCTACTTATTTGCTCTAGCTCTGTGTTTTCTTCGCCTTCATTGTTTATATTGTCTTCATTTATTACTTCGGTATCAAATTTTTTCTCATAATATTCTTTCCATACCCTAGCTACTTGTTCTGGGCTTATTTGTATTTGGTTTGAAGTATCTCTTACTGCGTTTATTTCCTTTCGTCCCCTTGCCTTATGTGTCGTATTGTTGTCCAAAAGTTTCTATTATTTGTTATATATTCTTCCTGAAGTTCTTCTCCAAATTCTTTCCATGTTTTTGCTTTTGCTTGTGTGACTGTCTTTTTTACCAATCGTCTCTGCCTATAGTATTTTTCTTTATCTTCTTCTAATCCCGTTTCAATGTATTTTTTCCATGCTATTTTCTTCTTTTTTATTTCTGTCTTCACTTCTTTATTCCACCATCTTTTCCTTTTCAATTGTTTATTATATTTTTTTATTCCACACACTTCAGTTGCTGTTGTCTTTAATACTTCACTGTAAGTATTCCATCTTTCTTCCATTGTCCATGTTTCTTTTTGGCCCTCTATTTGTCTCAGTCTTTTGTTAGTTTCCTCCGTGTACAATTCTCGCACACTTTCTATCTTTAGTTTGTTTACATTTACTTTCTTATACTCTTTTCTTTCCACTTCCTCTATTTTTTCATCCTCCAGTTTTGCAGTGACCATTCTATGTTGTGTAGACAGTTCCGGTTCCTTTTCCGTTAAGATGGTTTTTATATTTTGTTCTAGGTTTCTCGTATAGACTATATAGTCTATTAAGCTTTTCGCATTTCTCTCTTCAGCCACAAATGTATATTTGTCGTTAATGGTTTGTTCACTGAATGTGTTTCCTATTATCAGGTCATTGGTTTGGCAGAATTCCAGCATTTTAATTCCATTTCTATTTAATGTGTCTTCTCCACATTGTCCAATGCATCCTAATCCCCTGTTAATGTCTTTACCTACTCTTGAATTCCAATCGCCTAAGATTATTATTTTTTCTCTTGTCTCTCTTAATTTGTCAAATGCGTTTTGGAGTTCGTTGTAGAATTCTATCATTATCTCTTCTTCATTTCCTTCTGTTGGTCCGTATATTTGTATTATTCCTATCTTGTCTTTTAGTTCTATTTGGGCTGTGATTATTCTAGATGATACTGCTTCGTAGTTTGTTATTCTTCTATGCTTCGTATAAATCAAGAATTATATATTATTAATAAAACGGCGACCCCCGCGCCAACCCCGTCCCTTCCTTATGTCTTTCCTTAATGTATGCATACCTATCTGTCCGAGGCCTACCTTTTATCGTTTATAAAAATGCCCTGATCGGCCCCTGGGCGAGAAGCGTGTAATCCCTGTGTAATCCTTGTATCTGTTTTTAAGAAATTTGTGTCTGGCTGTGTGGGTATTTACCCTAAAGCCAATAAAAAAAAATATTCTGTACCTGGAGTGGATCCTGTTGTTGACTAATGCTTCTTCTATTGCCCACAGTTCTACGTTTCTACGTATCAAAAGCTTTTTCATAATCTATAAAATCCAGACATAATGGGAGATTGTATTCGTTAGTCTTTTCTATTAGGATTTTCAAAGTACATAGATGGTCACAGGTGCTGTCCTTTTTTCTAAATCCAGCTTATTCTACTGGCTGATATCCGTCAAATATAATTCTTAACCTATTTGTAATAATCTTTGTAAAGGTTTTGTATATTTGTGAAAGAAGTAAAATTGGTCGATAATTTTTCAGGTTTGTGGTATCTCCCTTTTTGTGTATTAGTATTGTTTTAGCAGTATTCCATTGTTCGGGTATGTTGTCTTGGAATAGACATTTATTAAATAGTATTTTTAGACTTTTGGCTTCTTCTCCGCCTTCCTTTAGCACTTCTGCTATTCCATCGCTTCCAAGAGCTTTATTCCTTTTTATTTCTTTTACTGCTTTTTCTATTTCTTCGTGGCTTATTTCGGGCATCATTTCTGAGTTGGCATTTGTTATCTGCCTTTTCAAATTTTGCTTAGATCGGCGTAGAACTTTTCAATTAAGAGTTAATTCACCTTAAAAGTTAACTCAACTTATTTATTGGTCTGAGGATTAATTCTCTTTAATCGTTTCTTCAACTATTTGCATTATAATTAAATTCATTCCATTCAATTATATTATTCACTAACTTATTGCTTCTTCTTCTTTCACATTCTTCTGTTTATTCTATTATATTTTAATATTTGCGATCACATTTACC